TTCTTGACATTCATTTGCATAATGACCTTCTTCTTGGCATAACTAACTTTTATAGTTAGTTTTTCCCTTTGGGCAATATTTTTCTTTTCTTTCAATCCTTCTTCTATATTTGGGGTTGTTCATTTTATAATTCTCTTTTTTTGTATTTCCTATATTTAGGAATATACCTTTTGTATTTTTTAAACTTCTGACATTCTGAGTTTCGAGAATGCCTCTCTTTTCTAGTTCAACATCGCCATTTATTAGGTATCTCTAATAACTGAGGATCAAAACATGGTTTGTTTCGATAGTATACAAGAGTCCCTCTTAATTGATTATCTTTACATCTATCTTCTATGGTTTCTTTAGAAGATTTACTCTTCCGGCAAAACCTTCTGTAATATGATCAGGTTTATTAGACCATCTTTTGTTCATTTTAAAAGACCACAATGGTGGAAGCTTATTGAAGTATTTTTTAGCATATGCTGGTTTATCTTCTTGTTTTAACAAGTAATACCACTTTCCATATTCACATGTACAGTTTTTCGAATAACAAATATCACATATTTGAATATTGTCAAGTATGAACTTTGCTTTTTTCAGTCTTTCTTCTAACATGTAATGAATCGAGCTAAATTTGTATTTTTTTTATATATTTTTATGGATTTTTTGTAATTGTAAAGCTTGAAAAGAAGAAATGAGGAGGAAGAAGAAGATGCGAGTTAGAGGGAGGAGAGAGATAGACCAAATTGATGCATAACATACTTAGATTCTTTTCCTTCATTTTGCATGTTCTTATGCATAACAGAAATGAGGCATGGCCCACTACAATTACCCCTCTTGGGTGAAAACCAAAATGCCAAACTCTAGAAATTAAAAACAATACAATTTCCAGATTTGATTAATAACTAAAAATATATTAAAATGGGTCTTCATTTTGGTTCCACGTGTGCGGTCAGATTTGCCCCAGAACTCTTATTTTGCACTCCATAGTTTGTGCCACGCGTCGGCTTCTCAACCTCCTTCTCCATTTCAGACAAAACCCTAGCTTGTGTCTCTTTCTTCTCCATTTTCCCATCTATCGCACTCGACATCTTCAACAATTCTTTTTGTCTTCAAACCATCAAAATCCCCCTCAGAAGTTTGTAAATCCATAACATTTCCCCTTCCATTTTTTAGATCCTTGTCCACAAGGATCAAAACCCCTAAATTTATTTAGCAAAAATTTTTCATCTTCCCAAGAAGAAATGCCCAACGAACTGTCACCCCAACCAACTAGTAGTTGTTGCACATCTTCATTTCCATGCCTGACACTACGCCGATCCAGGACTTCAGTGGGTACTGCTTTGAAAAGACCATCCTCACCGATGTTCGGAAAGTTAGCAACAGATAAGTGCCCATCTCTCATCCTCTTTATCAGCAATGATACATGAAACACAGGGTGAACTCTTGACCCTTCTGGCAATTCGAGTTTATAAGCCACTTTACCCACTTTTTCTATTATCTTGTAGGGACCAAAGTACCTAGAACTGAGTTTAAGATTTCTCCTAATTTGAACAGAGTTCTTCCTGTAAGGTTGTAGCTTGAGTTAAGCCATCTCTCCTACCTCAAACTCTCTTTCAATTATGTGCTTGTCTGCGTAAGTTTTCATTCTATTTTGGGCCTCCATGAGATTTTCCTTCATTCCCTGCAACATTAGCTTCCTCTGTATTATGAATTCCTTGACTTCTTGATGAGATGAATCTATATATGCATTAACAGATAGAGAATTAGGTTTATAGCCATAGAGTGCTTGAAAGGGAGTGGATTTGAGCGATGTGTGATAGTTGGTATTGTACCAGTATTCGGCCATAGGTAGCCAACTTGCCCACTTTTTAGTTTTTTGATGAACTATACACCTAAGATAGTTCTCCAAGAATTGGTTTAGCCTCTCAGTTTGCCCATTTATTTGAGGGTGGTGAGAGGAAAAACTGAGGTTTACCCCTATCATCCTGAACAATTCCTTCCAAAAGGTGCTTGTAAAAACCTTATCCCTGTCAGTGAGGATGCACATAGGTAATCCATGAAGTCTGTATATGAAGTCCAAAAACACTTTTGCCACCCCTTGAGCAGTAAAAGGGTGTGAAAGAGCCATGAAATGACCATACTTAGTTAGTCTATCAATGACTACTAGTATGGTGTCCTTACCCCCTGACTTAGGCAAACCCTCAACAAAATCCATTGATATATGGGTCCATGATTCTTCTGGAATTGGTAAGGGCTGTAATAGCCCATGAGTGTGCATATTGGAGGGTTTGTTAAACCTACAAGTGTCACATTTGGATACAAAAGCAGCCACCAATTTTTTCATCCATATCCAATGAAAAACCCTCTTGGCCCTCATATAAGTGCCCTGTACTCCAGAATGTCCCCCAATGGAAGTGTCATGCATGTGAAGAAATCAGCTCCTTCCTTAATATGGGGTCATTACAAATACACATTCTGTTGGGTTCGATATACCGTACGGAACAGAGTTTGCAGCGGCATTTAAAATTTTATAAGTATTTATCTTATAAATACTTATTCCGTACATAAGTATAACGAGATAACGAATAAGCATCATTTAAAATCTAGTAACTTTTTACTAATTTTGATTTGATATGTAATTTATAAAAATTACCTTTGTTCTTGAACTCCTTCAAAACCGACGATGTATGAGGAAATCAATTCCCGATTTGGTAACGATCACTTCTTGTTGTTACTCACTTTAGGAATCCAAATGTCTTCCCTCTAATCGTATCCACCTTTTGAAGTCCGGTTCCGACAATAGTTCCTTTGCTAGTAGAAACTACTCGATTTTATTCAATAAGTATGGAATATATATTTATAAGGAAATTTTTCAAGAACATTTTCTTGTATTATCACTCAACTCTTTGAATGAATTTTCTCTTGGAAGAATTTAGCTCAAAAACTTAGCAAAATTTAGCATCAAATATGTCCATATTTATACTAAACATTTTAGTATAAAATAATAATATTAGGTAGAATATTTTCATAAAATATAAAAAGTCTTCAAGAATATTTTCTTAAAATATTAAATCTTGAAGAAGACTATTACTACCCAATATTGTATTAATAAAAATAAGATTAATTATGTGGATTGGTTAACAACTCCAAACCACCGTAATTAATTTATTCTTATTAATATTTAATCTTCAATCATATTAAAGATAAGTAATACAATAATAATTCTTGAAAACATTTTTTCAAGACTTTATTATTTTAATCTATTCTTCTATTTCCTTATTTAATAATCTTATTATTATTTAGATTTAAAATTTAAAATCTAATTTTAAATTCCAACTATTAACTAGTAATTCTATTAATTACTAAATTAATATCCAAAATCCAATTAATCAATCTAATTGATTAATTTAATATATTCCTTTAATTGATATCTAATCAAATTAGATTTGTCAATT